AGATGGAAAGTCTAGTATTTTTTTTAAAAATATCTTTGTTCATTTTTATTTGAGTGAAGATTTAGATATCACATTGGTTTTTATATAATCAGTTGATATTTTGTTTTCTAACATTAATTTCCATTGATTAATTATACTGTCAAATCAATCTCTTTTTGTATATTGTCTTTCCTTTCATACAACTATTAAGTTTTATATTCACTGCTCCCTCCCTTCCTAAATTTATTATCCCTCCAACTTGGTTCTATCTGTGTGAGTCTAATATTGCCCCATTATATAAATAGTTCTCAGCTTTCCAAAGACTTATATGAGAAAGGAGTATGGCAAATTCACAGACGAAAATTACCCCCACAAAGGAGACAGAGCACATCAAAGGTGTTCCCCATCATTAGTCATGAGGGAAGTGCAAATTCAAGCCACAATTAGATACCACTACAAATATGCTAGAATTGTCATAGCCTAAAGGATAAGTAATATCAAGTGTTAGAAAAGATATGGAGAGACTTAAACTCAAATCAATCAGAACACAAAATGTCACAAGGGAAAGGATTGGCAGTTTCTTATAAAATTAAAAATATCCTTCCCTGATGAGCCAGCAATTGCATTTCTAGATCTCTACCCAAGATAAATTAAAATATATCCACATAAGACTTGCATTGCAGATATTCATAGCAGTATTGTTCAAACCAACCAAAAACTGCCAACAGTTGAAATATCCATCATCTTTTGAAAGGATAACAAAAGGTAATAAAGTCAAATAATGGAATGCAATTAAGCAACAGAAAGTAATGAAGTACTGTTATGTCAACACTATGAATGAAACTCAAAATTACCAGGCTAGGAAAAGAAGCCAGGCACAAAAGACCACAAATTGTATTATTCCGTGAGTATGCAATTTCCAGAAAAGGCAGATCTATGGAAACAAAAAAGTTACTGCTTAAGACTGGGAAGAGGAAATGAGAAGTGATGGTTAGAAGGAGTTTTCAAGATGATGGAATGTTCTAAAATTGGATTGTAGTAATGTGTGCACTTCTGCATAAATTTACGAAAATCCAGCAAACAATACATATAATAAAATGATTTCATTGACCCAGAAATGATTCATAGCTGACTTTGCAGCAGGTTTTCAGAGATTATAGATAAATTTGCGTGGGTAGAGATTGCCCTTCTTTCTCCCTTGGAGCAGCTGGTGGATTTTAACTTCAAGGTTGACACCTAATGGAACTCCCTGCCCACTAGACCACCAGCGGTTCATGCGTCTATTTAATGTTGTTAATGTTCTTAGGTGTGGTTGAGTTAGTACTTGAAAATGTTACTTACAGCCTTGGAAACCCACTGGACAGTCAGCTATAAATCTGACCGACTTGACAACATCGAGAGAGAGAATTATATCTCAATAAAGCTGTTATAAAGGGAGGAAAAGTTAGAGAGAGCAGTAAGATTTAAAGAGCTAGAGGACACTGTAGGATTTTAACAAGTTTAAGAGTCACAAAAAGGTATTTCTGGCAGAGGAAATAGCACAGGCTAAGCAAAATAGTGAGAAGTGCCAGATCTATCTGGGTCCCATCCAGACATCCATTTGGGCGGAATATTGAAATGGAGAAGAGTGAAAGGATGAAAACAAACAAACAAAAATACACCTTGGTCAGGTCACCTGCAAATAGGCTAACGCATTTATGAATTAATTTGCTAGGCAGTAAGTACAAAACCATGGAGGATTTTCCGGTGGTTAAAATTAAGGAGCCCCAATGAGGAGCTTGCATTAGAAGGGCAGATGTCCAGGCCAAAGGATCTTCTAAAAAGCTCATCAGACTGACTGTAAGTGAATGAGGGCCAAAGTGTGATCCTGTGCCTGTGTTAATAATGCAAAAAGACAGAGAGAAACCTTGGACCAGAGGCAGTGGGAAATAATAATAATAATAGATATCACTTACTTGGCCCATGTACTTAACTGCTTTAAAGAACCTCTGTTCTAAGGAAAGACAGAGTTAAGAGCCTGCTGTATATGGAATGAGTCAAATGGATTGATGCTCATTTTTAGATATGCTCCGAAGAGAAGGAATTAGGGAGGTCATAAAATGCTTATCTAAGGTGTATTATGGGAACCAGGGATATGGAAGCTTATAAATGGGTAAGAAATGGTGATACTGCTAAGGTAGAAGGGTGGTAAGTGAGACAAATGACAAAAACCGGTCTCCGGGGCTCGCTCCCTGCCTTGGGAAGGCGGGAGCATCTGGCTCTGCTACTGCTCGCTGTAGCTGTCACGGCTTTTCAAATGTGCATAATAAACATTAAGCAAACATCCTTCCTAACACCTATCTGTCAGTTTGTCATGCTGCAGTGGCTCATCATATGTTGATATAATGCTGGAAGAGACGTCACTGGAATTTATAATACGCGCAAGGTCATCCATAGTGGACAGATTGCAATGACTCTCCGAGATGAAGGCAGACTAGGACAAAGGCCTGGTGATCAACTTTAAGAAAAATTAAAGTTAAACATCAAAATTGGACAACCGCAGGGTTTCACAGTTTGGTGGGTGGAGGGAGAGGGTGAAGGAAATGGGAAGGATCCAGCAGGGACCTGAAAAAGCAGAGTAATGATGGGCAAGTCCAGTGATGATTAATTTATAAAACATAATGCACGGGAATAAGTGTACAAAACACATGTCAATGAAGACTAGTGTGAAACACAATGTGTATCAACTGTGTGAGCCACCCAGTATATATAAATTCTACATTAAAATCTAATTAACCAATGAAAACCTGACGGATCAGAGTGGAACACTGTTCTACGCAGTGCTGAAGACAAGCCTCCCAGGTTGAAAGGCAAGACACAGCATCTACAATAACAGACTCGAGCATCCCAGTGATCATGAGGCTGCTATTGGACCAGGTAACAAATTCATCTGTTCCACATCAGGCAGTCATGAGTCTGAGTGGACTCGATGGCAGCTAACATCAATAAAGTATACTTCAGTAGGTTTGCACAGCACCTCTTGGATAAATCAAAGACTGTTAGATGCAGTTCCTAGGGATTACATACTCTCCCAGCTCTGGGGGCTTAGTGGTAAGAAGCTGTGCTGCAATCCCAAAGCTATGTGGTTGGAATCCACCAAATGTTCCAACAGAGAAGGATGGGCAATCTCCTCCCATGTGACTTACTGTCTCTGAAAACCTGATGTAGGGTTAGCTATGGATTGGTTCTCACCCAACAGCACACAACACCATCACCCGCTATTGTGTTGGGCTTTTTGTTTTTGTAAAATTTTGATGAAAGGGGACAGAGACTTTGGATTTCCATTCATTCAGTTTTGCACACTTTTCCTCCCTGCCCACACCTTCCCCCAGTTCGCTTTTCTCTTTGACTAGCTATTGTAAGGTAGAAAAATACTATTTCATCTTTCTATCTTTGGAGCAGATATAGTCTATTACCATTCAACATCCCAAATCTTGACTCTCATTGTTTAAAGCAGAGAGATATCAGGCTGAGTTTTCAGTAGTTAAGCCAAACTCTTTGGAGATAAGTGCTTTTAAATAAAACTTTTTAGAAATTATTTCCTAACTTTAAATAGCAGATGTTGCATAAAGTGTGAGGTTTTTAGTGTCTCTTAAAAGATTCTAAGTCCTGGCAACTCTGTGGCCCAGGCCTCCAAGGCATCATCAGTGACAGCTGAGTAACTTTTGTTCTCTTTAGACACTGGAGTCCCTGCCTGGTACACTTTGTTCATTCATTCATTCATTCATTCATTCAACAAATGCTTATTGAACAGTGACTGTACGTCAGGTGCTTTTGGAAGTCCTGAAAATACATCCATTTAAAAGATGCCTAAATCTCTTGGGTAAGTTATAGCTGGAGTATAAACAAATGAATGAATTGATATATATTTTCAGGGGTAAGAAATGCAAAAACAAGGGTAGAAAGTGGGGGAAAAAGATTTTTCAAATAGCAAGTGATTGTTGTTAGGTGCCATTGAGTTTGGCCTAGAGCAGCCCTGTATTTCATAGCATGGTTAGGGTAAAGAAAATCTCTCTACTGTGGTGATACTTGAGACAAGATAGGATTAAATAAGGGGATAAGCCCATAGACAGTGGAGGAAAAGGCAGGCCAGGACAAGAGCAAAGTAGATGGGATCATGTTTACGTGCGTAAGGAGCCGGGTGAGCAAGTGTGCTTCCGGCCATGGGATGGTTTGGATTTTATTCAGTGTGAATCTGAGCAGAGGATTTATATGGTTGCTCATATTGGTGGCTGGCTCCACAAACACACGCATATTTAGCCCTTATTATAAGGCTAAATGGTACAGGTTATGGCATTAGAGACACACTCTGAGTAGAAAAGAGGACAAAAATCGGACTATGGATCGTGACCTCGTGAGCTTCAGGATAATTTCCCCAAGTTTAGCAGATACTGTTCATTAACCTGCATCTATAGCCAGAGTGAACACTCAAGAAGTAATTTGGAGGGAGCCCTGGTGGCCTAGTGGCAAGAAGCTGCACTGCAATCCCAAAAGTGTGCAGTTCAAATCCACCGGCTGCTCTACTGGAGAAGGAGGGACAATCGCCTCCTGTGTCGGTTGGATCTGATTCAACGGCACACAAGAAATAAAAGAAAAGAAAGTAATTTGGAAAATCAAGTTGACAGGACCTTAAGATTAAGTATTACTTGACTCCAGGCCAAGAGGGAAGTTTCTTCGTGGGTTTGCATCTGGAACACTGTGCCTTGCCCACTTGCAAAAAGCCTCTTTCACTGTTTGATTCTGACCAGTGACAGTCCGTCACTACTGGTACACTCAGATTGGTAAGCAAATCCTAGATCTTGCTTCGTTTCAGAAGTCTGAATATCTCCCATGTTTTCCCACTCGGATAGGACAAACCTCACCTCTAAAGATCAAAACAAAGCAATCAGCACTGGTTACCTATATGATTCAGTCTTGCAGAAAATCCATTCCGTGAACATGAAGAGATTACAACATTTAAAAAGATGAAAGTTTCTACTCACAATCAGAAGGTGATCCCGGCCCATTGTGATGACCATCCGATTCACTGTGCGCAGCAGCTGGACCATGATCTCTTGGATGTGGTGGTAAGTGAAGAGCTGTAATACAGTCAGAGATATCCATGTGAAAACCAAGACATTCTGCCTCTACTGCTCTTACAAAGGGCAGGGCAACAATGGTCAAGTATGATGGTCACCAACACCATCTTCACTCCTCCCCAACACAACACTGGCATCATTTTCTCCATCATCATAATCGTCATTTTCTACTTCATTGTATTTTTATCACCACCAACGTCTAGCATTAGACACCAAGGAATTCACTAATTTACAAAGTAAATTAGTGAATTAAGGTCTTAGATTCTGGAATAAGAAGCTTTTGAGTTTGTATTCTAACAAGTAAGAGTTGTGCCACATTGGTGATATAGTGCATTGAGCACTCAACTGCTAACTGCAAGGTTAATGGTTCAAACCTCCCAGTCATTCTGAAAAAGATGAGGTAGTCTGCTCCCAACAAGAGTTCTGGCTTCAGAAATCCTGTGGGGCTTTTTACTCAGTTGTCTGTCCTCGCTAAGAGTCGGAATTGCCTTTACAACAATGGGTGGTATATTGGCAAGTTATATAACCTATCTATATTTTGGTTTCTTCACCTGTGTAACAGTCTAGATAGAAACAAGGAGGAAATTTAATGTAGCAAATTTGTTGTTCAAGCCATGGAGTTGCTGAGACAACAAACAAGTGATGATTGGGTAGCCTAGATTAAGAATCAGTGGGAGATCATTATACCTCCTAGGCTATGAGGGATAAAAAGAAGAGAGAGGACCACTGGAGCCCAGGGACGCAGGTTACCCTACAGAGCTACATGCAAGAGTGTGCTTTTGAGTGGAATCTACACATTTGCCTGCTGAATCGTGTTCAGCTGAAAAGATATGTTTGTGTTTTAGCCCCTGAAACTTCAGAATTGAGTCTTAATTGGAAATAAGGCCATTGCAGATGTAATTAGTTGTTGTTGTGTTGTCCTCGTTACGTGCTATTGAGTCGTCTATGATGCATAGAGACCCTACGCACAATAATAGCACTGAACCCTGTCCTACCCTGAGCCAATTTCACTGTCTCTAACATGGTCCGGAGCTCATTCTTATTGGTATCTTTATAAAACAAAGACATACAGACATAGAAGGAAGATGACTATGTGAAGACAGAGGCAGAGACGGGGTTAGAAAGACAAGCCAAGGAAGGCCTGGGCTGGAAGAGACAAGAAAGAATCTTCCCCCAGAATCTTTTCAGTAAATAGAGCCCTGAAACCTCTTGAATTTGGACTTTGAGTCTTCAGATTGAAAAGAGAGAGATCTTTCTGCAGTTTCAATCCACACAGTTTGTCAGACTTGGTTAAGGCCCAAGATAAGCAATAGAAGAGGAAATCCATAATGCCCTGAGTTGCCTTGGAAAACAGGCCCGGTGACCTGTTTTTAAAACAGCCTTGAAAACTCTATGGTATGCAGTTCTACTCTGTACGCAGGAGATGCTTAAGTTGGAATTGACTCTTTACAGCACTCACAACAATAGCTCCTCTGCTTACTGTTCTCTGAACTTTGATGGGACGTGCTGATGTTTTGGTGTGGTGGGCAGCCTCAGATATTTTCACTAGTGCTGTCTGAAAGCAGAACATCGTCCCTGCATACCTGTGAGTGAAGTCTTGGCCAAGTGTGAAAGTCCTGGGATTTTAAGCTTAGAAGCTCCGTGTCTACACCTGACAGCTGTGTGACCTCTCTCTCTCTTTTTTAAATTAATGATTTTTTAAAAATTAATGTTAATGGAAGTTTACAGAGACTAAGGGTTTCCAGTCATTCATCGTTACACTTTTCTCCCTACCCACCCCATTCATCCGGCAGTTCACTCTTCTCTTTGAAAAGAAAGAAAAACTCTTTCATTGTTATGCAATCCCTCCCCCTCAAGTCTACTCCACTACACAGCCTTCACTCTGGACTTCTGTAATGACAAGAGTATCCATTCATACATCCCTTTTAAACAGTTCTCTCCCTCCTCTGTTTCAATGTAATATATATCATTCCTCCCCTCCTTTTCTCTTTTCCCTCAACCCTGATATGAGTTCCGTTTTACAACAAAGGCCCTATGCAATATTTGTCCTTTTGTGACTGAGATATTTCACTCAGTATAATGTCCTCCACCATTTTGCATATTTCATGAGTTCCTTATTTTTCAAGGCTGCATAGTATCCCACTGTGTGAATATACCAGAGCTTCTCTATCCATTCGTTTAGGTTGTTTCCAGCTCTTTGCTATTGTGAACAAAGCCACAATAAACATGGGTATGCATGTATCTGCCTGAGTGGCAGTTATGGTTTCTTTAGGGTATATTCCCAGTAGTGAATTGCTGGGTCAAATGGTATTTTTATTTGCAACTTGAGAAAGGGCCATACAGCCTTACATAGTGGTTGCACCAATTTTACACTCCCACCAACAGTGAATAAGGGTTCCAGTTTCTCCATAAGCTCGCCAACATTTAATGTTTGCTGTTCTGCTACTGCATCATCTGCAGAATGTATTATTTGATTAGTCTCTCAGAGTAGAAGTGAGTATCAAAGTCCCAAGTGCAATTTTGAAGAAACATACTTCCTGTAAGAGGTTTAGTAGATCTACCCTGAGCCTAGGCATCAGTAGTTTCTGAGTTTTCTAAATGAGGAAATTGAAGTCCAGACAGGTTAGGTAATGTGCCAGGATTACCCAGGTAAGAAGTCAGAGAGGAAGGATTCAAACTCATCAGTTTGACCCCAGAACCTGCTCATTGCCCAAGCTGACTCTGGCAGAGTAGAATATAAAATACAGCTCTCTGGTCCTTGCTTTGCAACTGTGTCAGTGTCCTCCTCATCAATTGAGACAACTTCTAATCAAGCCTTCAGTAACTTCTGATCTTTCTCATTTAGTGATATATTTATCACTCCCTTATCTGCTCTGCATTCCTTTGCAATTTTATCAACTCAGATCCATTTAGTGTTATTTCTCACCACCCACTGTCCTCCAAGATTACATCTCTTCCTTTACAAACAGAAATATTAAAACTCTTTTCTCTCGACCTCTTGTCCTCTGCTTCTTTTAAATAGCCTTTCTTCTAAGTCCAAAGAGCAGCAATTAGGCTGTTCGGGAAGTTTGGTATTTAAAAGTAGAAAACTGTCAAATTCAATTCAGCTCATTCTGAAAGCTCCCAATAGAGAAGGCTGAGTAGCAAAGTATTATGGGATCAAACAGATCTGAGTTTGAATCCTAACTTGGCTAATTCAGGCTGTCTGACCTTGAGCAAGATACTTTTCCTGAATTTCTGGTTTTTTCCTTTCTTTTTCCCTCCAATCACTGCAGCACTTTATTCTTACACAAGGCAGTGTTGCTGGGGCCTAATGATCACACATGACAGTAGAAAAGCAAAATTTGTTGTTATCTCTAGAGCTATGAGTTGCACACAAAAACCTTACATATATACACACACATACACAAACAAGATTAATACAATTTACAGGTTTAAATTACAACGAACAATACAAACCTCAAAGTATTGTTAGAGGAATAAATAAGGCAAAGTAGGTCAAGCCCTGGGTAGTAGGATTTGGATCATAGAATTGTTGTTATATGCCTTTGAGTTGAAACCATGTTAAAGATGAACTTCCAAAAAAAAAAAAAGATGAACTTCCACTGGGTTTTCAGACGTTGTAAATCACACAGGAGGACATTGCCCATCTTTCTCCTTAGGAGCAATTGGTGGATTCGAACTGGCTGATTGGGGGTCAGAAAAGCGGCTTCTCATTCACTCAGCCACCAGGGCACATAGTAAGGTCTCAATAAACAGGAGCTGCAGCTCATATTCTGTTTGGTCTGCATCAGCATTCCTGCCTGGGCTTGCAGATTCCTAGCACGTACAGAAAGTGCAGTGCAAGGCAATGCATAACCTAAACTCTGGGTGATATCGAAATGTCACCCAAAGAATGTATAGCATCTATGCAAATGGAAAACTTTCAAGATGATAAACCTGTGCTGAGCAGTAAAAGTGCAGCCACAAATCACATACTGTTAATTGCTCCAGAGTCAGGGAAGTGGAGGGCAACACTCGGCAAGTGTTCTTCCAGGCCCGAACTAAACTGTAGCTTGTAATTGAAATGACAAAATCAGTCTTCCTATTAGGACCCTGGCAAAGAAATTAATCCATCCAACCTAAACACACTGCAAATTGTTGTGATTTTTTCCCCCTTTTTAATAATTATAGGCTGTTCAATCTGGAAGGGACTCAGAGTCCTTTCTTTAAATGAAATTGCCCAAGCCTGGTGCATAAGACAGTAAAAGGAGAGTTGGAAATAGCGCATGGGAAGTCAACCCTGTCTCCTTGGCTCACTCCAGGACTCGTGGAGGCTTTAGGACTTTCCGAAATAGAATATAGACTCAACAATCTCCCATGCTATATCCGGAACAATAATAGAACACGTCACACATAAAATGATTTTTAGCGATAAGGGCGCTCTAGTGACCTCCTGGCAAGGAGTGGTGCTGCCAACCCTGAGGTATGCACTTTGAATCTACTAGTTGCTCTATGAGATGAGAATGGGGAATTTCCTCTAATGTGATTTACTGCCTCTGAAAATCCACCAGAGTGTTAGCTAGTGATAATGGACATATATTTAGTGATGTTGTTATACGCCATCTAGTCACCTGACTCATCACAACCCTATGCACAACAGCTGTGAACCCCGCTTTCTCTTGAGCCAATCTCATTGTCTCTGACACACATACCCCCATTGTTACTGTGTCAATTCATCTCATCCAGGGTCTTCCTCTTCTGCACTGTCCCTCCACACTTCCAAGTATGATGTCCTTCTCCAAGGACTGGTCTCTCCTGGCCACTTGCCCAAAGTATGTGAGATGGAGCTTCAAAATCCTTGCCTTCAAGAAGTGTCTTGGTTTCACCCTCTCCTATCACCCTTAGTCACTGTCCACATCTCTGATGCATAGCAAGTAATTACAAAGATCATGGCTTGGATCAGGTGCACCTTAATCTCTAGACTGTCATCGTTGCTCTTCAGCACTCTGGAGAGGTTC